TAAAATTTTCTTGCAAAGCTTCGAATTCTTACGTGATCATAGATCTTTATTGAAATTATTTCAAAAGTCATCAAAAATCTTGGTGAAACTCATAATCAATTACTAAAATTCCATTGATGAGTTCGTAAAAAGTACTAAAGAAAACGTAATGTTCAAAGCAGATGAATTATTTTGTGAATTTACCACGAAAAAGTTTCAAGATGAGATGAAAATTTCTAAAAATTCGAATGACAATGTGTCACCTTTGTTGCTAACAATACCTCTCAAGTTTGTGATCAACCGGGTCAGGATCCGGCACAAAGTTATGGCTTCAACGGTATTGGAATTACTAAGTTGACATTAAAAAAAAAATCATAAGAAATTTAGCCTTTTAGGTTATTTTGATTTTAATTCAAAATAGTAACCAATAATAAATTGTTTCCACCAAGTTTTGTAGTCCAAAAGATTTGATTTTGAAATAATTTCAATAAAGATCTATGATCACGTAAGAATTCGAAGCTTTGCAAGAAAATTTTATCAAACATGCTTGCATTCCTTGCATCGTTGCATTTGTGTTCAATTGCATTATTATCAGAGGGTGAGCGCGAGCTATCAAAGGAGACGGTTAATTCATGATTGATGTAATAAATTTAATTGCATTTCGCGGCGCAGTAACAAACCATCAATTTCGGCACTTTTACGGCATCACTCTATAAGGTAGTTTAGGTGATATCAATTCTATTTCACAATGCAAGTAAAAAAATTAATGCAGTATTTATTACTGTCCATTTTGCACTATTTCGGAAAATTTCGGAAAATGTCCAGGCAGGTTCATGCATTTTTTGGAAGTTATGAATGCATGGCGTCATCCGGCATAATGTAAATAATCGTTCCTTGACTTTTGTGAATACATCAAAACTTTAAATTATGCTATTATTGTTGGCGTTATTGTTAATTTATGATTCTTTCGCCTTTTTAAAGAACGTTTTACTCTGTTTGATGATATTAAATACAGTTTTAGTCATCATAACTGTGGATGGACGCAATGTATACATTATAACGAAATGCAGAGATGTGCACAAATAAGGCCATTTATAGATCACATTATCATTGATAACATCTTCATCATTCTTTAGTATAAGAAGGAAAAAACAAGGAGCAAAGGTAACTTGAATTGAAATAATCAAATTTTCAATTAAAGGTTCACGACCAATGTTTAGACCTGCTATTTGATGAAGTGCCTCTGTTATCTGCAGGACTTTCAGATGTTCTTCCAATTGACGTCTAATTCCCGGAGATGTAGCTCCAAAGATTATTTATTATTTATCACATGCTGCTCAAAAGAGCTTGGATTATCCATTCAGCTGTATGTCAACTATTATTTGAGACCTGATATGGCTATATAAGTGTCAAAAGCGCGAAGGCGATGTTTAAGGAAAAATGATATTCCATATAGCATCCATTTTAGGAGAATAAATCCATTAATTCTCACTTTTTTGATTGATTTCGTGATCAATGTCACATATCATGTCACATATCACATGAGATAATCATGTGAATGCGAAGGGTTTTTTTTTTATTTTTTGAATCCATCAATCCTCATCTTATTGTAGGATCTATTTGGAATTTTAAAAGTCGTTAAATCTAAGTTTGAAAGTGGAGATTTCAGGGTTTTTAATGGAACATTCCATGAATCTTTTCGAAATTTTTGGAAATTAAGGTTTATTTACAAATAAATCATCCTTTGTTTGGTTACCATCATTTTTAAAGAACTAGCGCAAAAAGAACCGTTAAATGTCGCACAGCAATCACATTTTCATGTGATATGTGACATCTATGGGTCGTACGGATTCTGCTGCGCTACCGAAAATAATGTTTATTGGCTGAGCATGGCGTACCCTTATGCGAAGATTATATGATAAACCATTATTAATACAGCAAGTATTTCGTAAATATTACAACTCCAAAAACCCGGTAATAATAATACTAAATTTTTTTTTTTTTTTTTTTTTTATAAATAGAAAAAAAAAATTTTTTTTTTTTTTTTCCGTTTAACCTTGTTTTTCTTTCTTCTTCTTTCTTTCCCTTCCACCAAAACGATTACAAAAAAAAAGTTGCTAAAGGAAAAAAGAAAAGACTTATTTTCATTTTATATTCGACGAAAAAAAGACAATCTTGAAAAAAGATGTCAGAAATATCAGTAAATATATTTTATCGTATCATAGTTGGAGGAAAAATATTTATATTATCACGATCAAGTATCTTGTACGATTCGCCAAATTTATTCACGGAACATTTCGTCAAGAAACCATTAACGGGAACAGAAGTTTGGCAGGATGAGATGAAAACGTTTCGGGAACAACATAGTAGTAATAATTCTTCGTATCATAATCATGGTATCTTGAATGGTCATACATCAGCTTTCACCATAGGATTGACGAATATGTTTAATCCTACAGCTATTGTTCATACCACTACCACACCGCCACCACCAACATCAACCAAAGATATTTCCTTTGATCGTGATCCTTACATTTTTGAAGTTATAGCAAGGTATCTTCGTGGATACACAATGTCCTTTCCACTTTCCTCTTCCATTAATTTACCTACCGGAATGAGTATCGAGTCTTTTCATCGACACCTTTTAGAAGATGCAATTTATTATAAATTATCTAATCTTCAGCGACTTTTAACAACTGTCTTTCCAATTCAATCACCAACCCCACCATCTCCATCTCCTACTTTAACTTCAAGTTTAACCTTAACGACCTCTTCAAATAATTCAAATAATAATTCCCCCTATTATGATCCGTTTATAAATGATACGAAAATTGATCTCCTCCTTTCCAATACACCGATCGATCATTTGGTAATGTTGGATCGTAAACTAAGATACAAGATAAAATCCTCTGAATATAATGTTCATCCTTTGGTACAATTTCATACCGAAAATGTCGTATGGGATATTTCACCAAACGCCTGGAGCTTTAAATTCTTGCAATCAAAAGATTTAACAAAAATGACCTCTTTTTGTAAAGTTTTCATCAATTCAAAATTTTATAAAAATGTTTTGCCAAATCAATTTGGCGAAACATTTTTTAACGGTTTAATATGTACCTGCGTGTTCAGAATTGATGGAAGGGAAAGAAAGAAGAAGAAAGAAAAACAAGGTTAAACGGAAAAAAAAAAAAAAAATTGTGTGTTGCTATTGT